CAGAAAACTTTTCCTCTAAAGTAGATCAGTTTCTTGTAAAATGTCTCAAAGTTCGGCTGTTTTACGAAGCTAAAGTCGCTTCTTTAAGTCGCTCCAGCTTCTTGTTCGAATTTACCCGTTCCACCTTAAATTCTGACTGAGGTGCCGAATGTAAATGCGGCACCATTTAAGGTGGAACGGGAAAACTCGAAAGAGAAGCGACTTCATCTTCGCAACTTTTTAGTGTTTGACAATCTCTCGTTGCAGATTTAGATTGCAAGTAAACCAACAGCAGCGCTTATGAATGCGAATAACGTATAGTTGCTAGGTGACCTGCAGTCGGAGGACACCAGTTCTCAGTCGTTGCGAAACAGGGCTTTCGCGCTATGTTGCACACGACCCGAAGATATTTTGCTGACACAGCGACCCCCCCACTCTCTACAACGAGACCAAAACCGAAGATATAAAATCACTAAAGAAAACGGGTAGAATAGCTGTAACGTGCTGCGTGGACATCCATCACCACTGGATCTTATTTCACCGTAACTGCGCATTTTATCGCAGATGAGTAGCAGCAGCGTCTCATGTGCTCCAAGCAATAGCAGTGAATGAGAGCCTTCTAGTTCACTTGCCACATCACTTGCCTTTGATTTATTAATAAAAGATATTGGAAGTAAATGCATTATAGATCATTACAAATACTTAGCTTTAAAAGTACCAAGTCCTGACACAGTAAGAAAATAGAAATCCTGTATAGAAAAAAAAGATGGATCAAGATGCATCGATAATCGTTTTATAATCGCATCGCAGCCCTCTGAATCGTAATCGAATCGATTCGTGAGGTGCCTAGAGATTCCCACCCCTATTTATAAAGCACTTTTTAAATGAATCAGTAGAAATCATATCACCTCCTACACTTCCTGTAGTGTATTACAGTCTGTAAGAATGACAATGTATTTCATTTGAAAATCTAAGCTCATTTCTATGCATTTCTAATAAATAATTAAAATCATCAGTAACTAATTGACTTGGTTACCTCTATATGTTGGTCAGCAACTACAAACAGAAAGTATTTCATGTTACACTCAATAAAGAGCTAAATAAAGTTCCTCACCAATTCCATAAATCTTTAGATTGCTTCACAACGTACAGCCCAAAAAAAAAGCCAGTCTTTTTATGCATAGTATCTGTGCATCTTTCTGAAATACTGTAATGCTCTTTAGTTGAATTCTTTAATTTAGTATGAGTTTTTGTACAGCACTGTAAGTGTGTGAGATCCTCCAGGTTTAATGAGCGCTGGCTCTGACTCAGTCAGTGTCTGACATCTACAACCTGTCAAATAAATGCTCAGTTAATCAATTCAGTTCAAACACTGACACACAATCTCACACAAACACACAAATGACATGGATAAAGATTCTCAGATGAGCTACTCACTGATTACAGTCATTAATGTGAATAGAAAGTGGTGAATGGTTCTAGGTTTCATGGCTGCTGCCGAAAAATCAAAGTATAGTGGGAATCATGGAGTCTTATTTATAAAGTAAAAGGCTCATTTGCATGTCCCGCCCTCTAAAGCGTTCATCAGCAGAAAGATCAAAGGTGACATTCTAGCACTGGAGAATCTAAATGGTGTTGCCATGTAAGCTTTTACTACAGCACTATAGAAATCAAACTGAGACCAGGTTGTTCTGAAGGTCCTGCATCGCCAGTGTATTGTAGTAAATATAAACCAATAAATAATCAGAACACTGAAAAACTGTACTGAAAAGTAATGATACTGCTGGAATAAATGAGTTCCTGCTGGACTCCGTGTAAAGCTGTATATCTGAATTTATTCACATTCAAATTAAAAACACTTTCAAGATGTGTAGATGCAGAATCAGGGCATCATCCTATCATTTGTTTATTCATTTTTATTTTGAGCAATTTTTTAAATGAATAATTACTCCACTGACATACACTTAATCCTGCAGCACCTTCAAATGCAGACTTTACGGACACTCTGTATAAAAAAACTGAACACTTTCCATTATCAGAATTAGAGAACAGTCATTTGTAATGAAGGCACAGGCTGCCCCCTGGAGGCTGAAACACAGTCCTTCAGCTCTGCCTGACATTGCTTGCGTTTATGTGATTCTACAGACACAGTGTAGAAGATATTAAATGCAAACACAGTCAGTGTTTTACAAAAGAAGTGATACAGCAATTGTAAGATTTATTCTTTGTATTATATAAATAATACAAATAAGAGAGATTAGTATGAACAAATGACATTTACAGCACTGTGCAAAAGTCAGAGACCCCTTTCATTTATTCATCCTCCATTCAAAATGTCCTATAAGAACAGATGATTCATTTTCAGGAGATACTGAATGAGGTGTCTGAAGGTGAAGAACCTTTTGAAAGTTTAAGTAAAATGTAGAATGTGGAGTACAAAAGGCTCTTGAACCGCACATTCATAACATTTTGTTTTTGTGTTTATCGAAAAATGGATTATATCAGAAATAAATAAATAAACTCTGAGACCACCCTTCATTTATTAAATTTGAAGTGGAAATGGCCTTTAAGTATGAGCTATTCATTTTTCAGACAGTGTATATGAGATAATCCACAGTAATGTCCATAAAAAATATAACTTCACTACTGAATATTAATTATGTTCAAATGTTTATTTAGTATTCATTCAGCATAAAGGAAATATGAACAAATGGATAACAAATAATGATCATGTTGTAAAATGTTGTTTAACGGTTTTTGAACAGCCATCTGGCCTTTCTGTGTCAGTGTGAGTCTCGAGCACAGTAATACACAGCTGTGTCTTCAGCTTGCAGATTCTGTCCTTGTAGGGTTACTGTGTTTCTGGTTGTGTCTCGAGAGACACTAAACTTGCTTTTCAGTGAATCTTTAGCTTCTATGTCTCCATCATAACGAATTCTGTTGATCCATTCCAGAGCTTTTCCTGCAGGATGGCGGATCCAGCCTGTTCCATAATGGCTGCTGCTGTCAGTGATAGAAGCTCCAGATACTGTACAGGTGATGGTTAAAGACTCTGCTGGTTTGATGAGCACTGAGTCTGGCTGGATGAGCTCAGTAGCACAGAACACATCTGTGAAAAGAGAGAAGAAAAGGTTTGTATATTTGCAGTAATAAATCAGATGAAGTCAAATCCAGCTTCAGTTGGACACTCACACGAGGCAGCAGCCAGCAGCAGCAGTGGAGCTGAAGAGAACATGTTTGTGCTGCATTTAGAGTGATGGAAGCTGCTGTAGAGGGAGATGCTGCTGATATTATGAGAGCAAATTTGCATATGAATACAAAGGGGCTGAATGTCAGGAATAGAGCTGGTTCTCATGTGGGCTGTGCTAGATAACAGAACATGTTGAGTTTAATGATTTATTTCATTGGAACTCTAGAGCTCTAATGTTGAATAATCAGTACAGATACAAGAAGACATATAGGGATGACTTTACTTTAAAATGAATAAATATTTTATTCATTTTGATCATGCGGTAAACTAAATTGTCATGAATACTCATCACTATCATCATTGTTTGTTTGTTTATTTATTTATTCGAAAGGCAGAAATTATGACTGCTCTGAGCTTGATCTCAATGTTTAACAGGAGAAACTTGAACAATGTGAACATTAACTTTAGAAATACTAGGCAGATATGCACAGGCTGCCCCCTAGAGGCTGAAATAGAGACTCTACCTGTATTTCAGTTGGTGCATATTTAAATTTCACTTTACAGAGCTAGTGAAGATGTTAAATATTTGAAAATGCAAAAGTTCACCTGGATGTGTCAGGCTCCTCAGACTGTCTCGGTAGGTTACAAAAAACAGATAAGATTTAATCAACTGGAATTAGAATGTTAAGAAAATAACAGTTATAAATAAATACCATTATAAGAAGGAGTTAATGTTAATTGAATGTTTTGGTGAATAATCAAATTTACACAACTTCTCACTTACATCCAATACAGTGCATGACAGTTCCAGACATTTTGATCTCCAAATTTTGCTTCTTTAGTTTAGCATTGAAACTACAAATCTAATGTTGCTTATAAACACCTGAATTGAATAGTCAACAAAATATCTTGGGGAAAAAAATCCAAAAACTTCTTTCAACCACTCAAACCACATGTGTTTCAGGGCACATTATGATTTACTGTGAGCTATAAATATTAACAAATCTTAACTGTACAGTTGAATGAAGCACACATCCATTTTACTCACCGGGTTTTGTGCCGACTCCCCTCTGTGTGCATGCACGTCACGCAGGTATATGGATGCCACAGATTTGAGATTTCTGTGGTTTCTTTTTATAAATATCTGTTTAGTCTTGAGTCTTAAATAAAAATTCGCATACATTTTTTTTCATAGAAATTTTAAATGTATTCAAGCACCCATGTGGCCCTAATCCTAACCTTAACCTCAAACCAAAGCCTAATCCTAACCCTCACCCTGGCCCTAATCCTAACCTTAACCTCAAACCAAAGCCTAATCCTAACCCTCACCTTAAACTTAAACCTAATCCTAACCCTCACTCTGGCCCTAATCCTAACCTTAACCCCAACCCAAAACCTAATACTAACCCTCACCTTAAACTTAAACCTAATCCTAACCCTCACCCTGGCCCTAATCCTAACCCTAACCTCAACCCAAAACCTAATCCTAACCCTCTTATGTCTGTAGGTCGAGAGTAGCTTTTGAGGATGCATTTTTGAGGTGACTATTGACTTTAAAAGTGTTTTTTACTCTACCATTCTTTGGTCATTACTCTGGGTGGGTTTAGGAAAAATAATGTTTGGGGTTTACTATAACAATATCACAAAGTGAGTGTCTATATATATATATTATATATATATATATATATAATATATATATATATATAATCACTCTTGCTTTAATTACACTGAATGAAAGCTCTAACTATTGACTGAAATCTAATAAAGGAAATGATGACATTACAACTGAAAGCACTGGAGGGGTTTTTGTACAGCTCTGTAAACTCTTGTGTCAGTGTGGATCTCGAGCACAGTAATACACAGCAGTGTCTTCATTCTTCACGCTGCTCATCTGCAGATACAGCTGGTCTTTGCTGTTGTCTCTGGAGATGGTGAACCTTCCTTGGACAGACTGAGAGTAGTACTTTTCTTGACTATCACCTTTGATGATTGCCACCCATTCTAAGCCTTTTCCAGCAGCCTGTCTGATCCAGCCCATCCAGTTGCCATCAAAGTCTAGACCTGATGCCGTACAGGTCAGTTTATGAGATCCTCCAGGTGTAATGACCACTGCTTCAGACTGGGTCAACTTTTGACTCCAACACTCTAAAAGAAGAAGAAAAAAAAAAATTAATTAACTAAAATAACATAATAGCTCATCCAGAACTAAAACATTCAGCAGAAAATCAGCCCATCAAGATCTTACTTGTAGAGAGAGACAGTAAAATAAAACTCCAGAAGATCTTCACTTCCATTGTCCAGGTAGCAGAGTGATGACCATCAAGCAGACTATCATAAAGAGTGAGTGATGACTGAGAATATAAAGCTTGTAAAGGACAGTGACTTTGCATACTACATTTACAAGCTTAAAAGATCTTCCTTTTTAAATTCTTCATCTAAATAGCCCGCCCACTTCTCTGCCTTCTCTTCTACTTTATTCTTATACACTACTTTAACTAATACATATGATCAGGGATCATTAAAATCTGCACATGTTTGAGGTCTTATAAGAGCAGCAGTTGTATGATTGGGCAGTTTTTGATGTCATTCATGGTTTACCCTGTGGATGCATGTCAAACACAACAAAACACAGCTGTGCCTTCAGACCGCAGATGTCGTTGGATGTAGCTGAAGAAACGGTTCACTTCAGCTGAAGTCACTGGAGACATTATGACTTCTGCAATTTCCACTCTTTGAGGCTGTACGGTGTCCATTTCTCATGCCTACCACTCTTTACACTTCACTAGTATATTGCAATATTTCAGATTGACCATTTGGATCATATACATTACAGAGATTTATAGAACTAGTTTTGAATGAAACGATACAAGCAACATCGCCCCCTACCCTTCTTGTAGTGTTTACAATCTGTCAGATCATATAAACAACTGCTGTGTATTACTGTGTTCAGGAGTCACACTGATAAGAGTTTACAGTGCTGCAATGATAAGATTTTACTCAACACAATTAGAGTTATGGTCGATTAAAGAGTAAACTTTTATATTTAAACCCTTTTCAAAAATGTAACTGACTGTTCTGTGCTCTATGTATTAGATATACCTACAGTAAACACCAGAAATAATGATGTTTACTTCTGTAAAATCATCTGGAGTAATGAACAAAGGGCCTCTATCGCCAAGTAATTCAGTAATTAAGAAGTCATTTCTTCTTAAAAACCCATTTATGCAGTTTTTATGTAGATCCTGACATTCGCCAGTGTTTTCTTATTTGGGATTTGTTCTCAAGACCAGAATCTACACACTCAAGAGTACAAAGATGTGACAGTTTTGAGGTTCAAGAACACGTCAATGACTTTTTTCGTAGTAGCTTTCTCAAGAACAAACAGAAAACCTAAGAAGATATTGAAGAATGAGACCCATTGAAGAGCAGACTGCAAAAAACCCTAATCGTATAAGTTACCATAAGCTATATAAGCAATACCGGCTTATCATATTCATAAACGTCTACTTCTTCTTCTTCTTCAACTTCTTGTAACTCCTTGGAATTGAAAGGACTGGTGAACAAGCTAAATCACTCATTTTTTACTTACTGCAGTAATCGATCAAGTCATGTTTAGGCTCCAAATTTTGCTTCTTTACTTTAGTGCTGAAGTTACAAAGCAAATATTGCTAACAGACATTGTAAAAGTCAGTAGTCACCCAAATCTTTTCTGTAAATGCATCCACAACACTTCTCTCGTCCTGTTCAAACCATAACCAGGCCTTCCTGCAGATTTGTCACTGTGGTTTAGGACACAGGATGACTCACTGTGAGATAAACAGTAAAAAGAGATGTGAATTTCAACTGACCCACAGGCACATGGGCGTTAGATTACATTTAAGATTTCTGTCTAAAAATATGAATCCTCACTTTTTATTCAAGACTCAAGATCAAGACTCTAGGTTGAACAGTTACTTATTAAAAAAAAACACAGAAATGGCAAACGTAATCTGTAGCTTCCATATGCATGAGTGATGTGCATGGACACAGAGGGAATGGATGTCTGTTGCATTCAGCTACAGGGTGAAGCTTGGCTCATTTTTAGAGTTAACAGCAAGTTATACTGTGCTCTAAAACACACCAACAAGACTGTGTAACTTTAATGAAGACCTGGGTGCATTTTGAGTGGGTTAAAAGAAGTTTTGGGGGTGTATTTTCAGAAATGAAACATTGGGAAACTTGGGTGACTATTGAATTCTGCTGTTTGTTAGCAACATCAGCCCTGTTTCCCTAGCGCTAAATTAAAGAGGCAACATTTGGGCACCAAACATGTCTGGAAACCTTATGATGCTCAGGCGAACTTTTACATTAACGAACATTTAACGTCCTCTAGCCCTGCTCTGTAAAATTAAATTGTGCCAACGAAAATACAAGTCTCTATTTCAGCCTGTAGAGGGCAGCCTGTACATATCTAACAATTACATGTAAAGATAATGTGCTAATAAAGGTTAGATTACTTGTTACCACATGAAGTGGAACGATTTTTGTACAATGCAGAGGTAGGAGAGGTGATAATAAGTGATAATAGGTGATAAAGAAGTGAAATAGCCAGTCAGTGGGTTCAAATACCAAGACTGACTGTCTATATCTGGTTGTGTCCTTGAACAAGCCGCTTAACATCAACCTCCCCCAGGGGGCACTGCCCTGCTGGTGACACTGTGTTTCTCCCAGATTGGTCTTAGTCAAACGACAAATTTCCTTTGAACGACCAGTAAAGAAAATAACAGTTTGGATAGAAAGCATGAAAGCTAGCATAATAGCTAATACAGCTAATGTTTTCAGTTAATGTTGCTGGTATTTTAGTAAGATAGAGATCACAGTCCTTAAAAAAAAATAAAATAAAACTACAACTGGATTAGCCCTTATGCTTGCTATTCCATAGTCCATATACAAACTAGGGACCATTTCTAATTGTTTTGCTTATTTTCTTTAAGCGCTTCACTTCTACCTTTCAGACTGAAGGCTTTTTTATAATGAAATGCTCATGGATCAGACAAACATTTATAAAGCATTATAAAGCCATATCACCTCCTGCACTACAGAATTACAGTCTGTCACAATGACAACATGGATAATATGAAAATTAAAGAGCATTTCTATGAGTTTCTTAGTTAATTAGCATCAATAATAACTAATCGACTTGGTCACTACTTTGTTGCCACCTTACTTCAAATGTCACCTCTACAGGTAGGTCAGAAACATTGAACTGAAAGTATTTTTTGTTGAGCTGAAATGAGAGCTAAGTAAGTTCTGGAAGTCCCTCACTAAGTCCACAAATCTTTATAAAGCTTCAGAATGTCCAGCCCAGTCTTCACATGTATGAAAAGCCAGTCTATATATGTTTATTGTCTGATCCACTCAAATATGTTGTATAAAAGGTTTGCCAAATATAATCTGGCGGAAGGAATATAAGGTTTGCCAACAAAAGCAATAGAACATGAGAGGGAGTGTTATCGCAAAACAACATCATGGCTGTGATGACACGATAACACAAGACCTCGAGTGTTCTATTGCTTTCATACAACAGTTAAATAAATGAAGTAATAAATTAATAAACTGGGCCGTGAACGCGGCGTTTAATATGTTTTAATGTTAGCAGTTCCTTCCGCCAGATTATAGTTCCTTAACAAGCAGCTTGTTGCTACGTCAGAGTAACGAGCTCCGCTCACTCGCTGCACAGTCTGCTGTAAGCTTTGCCTTTTGAAGTACTGAGCCATAAAACTGCCACCATATCAAGTTTAGCTCAGTTTTGTCATTTTTTGCTAGATCAATATTAATGTTGTTTTGTTCCAGCCAGTCTGTAAAGCATCTTACAGCCCATTTTGTTTGGCGAATGGTGTTGGGTTCATTTCCGGCTGATTCCAGGTTGTTTAGCTGTTCTTCTGTCACAGCTGCTGACTGAAAAGCTGCTCAGTGGTGATGACCGCTTGGGAATTTAGTGTCGTCTCATCTTCAGAGTTTGACCAAATCGACTGTCAGTCAAATGTGATCTTAAAAGTATCCATTTTCTGTTTGTGTGAAGTAAGAAGTAAAAACGTTCAAATGGTTTGAGCATCAAAGTCGTTGCTTAGCAATGGCGTCTCAGCGGAGTGATACAGTGTTTGTGAAAAACCCATTATGGCGAAATAACAGCACGGTTAGAACGCTTCTCAACCAATCAGCTTGCATGGCCGGAACTAACTGTTGTATAATGATGTAATAAACAGCAGTGTCTTCTGTCTTCAGGCTACTCATGTGCAGATGTCTTCATGTCAAGAATTTTAGTTCTGTGATCTATCTTATTAAAACACCAGCTACATTAGCTGACAACTTAAACTATTACACCAGCTATCATGTTTGCTATCCAAGCTGTTATGTTCTTTACTGATCATTCAAATGAAATTTGTCAAATTGCTGCTTAACTATTCCCAGTCTGGGAGAAATGCAGCGTCACCAGAAGAGCAGTGACCTTTAACACCGATTCCTCGACTTGATATTCCTAAACTTTGATCTTAATGCTTCATCCTTTCTTTAAACTAAATCTCTGGTGTGAAGGAATTTTGGTACGTCTCAGCTGGTCTCTTACAGCAGGGTTACTGTGTTTCTGGTTGTGTCTCGAGAGACACTAAACTTGCTCTTCAGTGAATCTTTAGCGTTTATGTTTCCATTATAATAAATGGTGTTGATCCATTCCAGAGCTTTTCCTGCAGGTTGGCGGATCCAGGCTGTTCCATAATGGCTGCTCTGGTCAGTGATAGAAGCTCCAGATACTGTACAGGTGATGGTTAAAGGCTCTGCTGGTTTGATGAGCACTGAGTCTGGCTGGATGAGCTCAGTAGCACAGAACACATCTGTGAAAAGAGAGAAGAAAAGGTTTGTATATTTGCAGTAATAAATCAGATGAAGTCAAATCCAGCTTCAGTTGGACACTCACACGAGGCAGCAGCCAGCAGCAGCAGTGGAGCTGAAGAGAACATGTTTGTGCTGCATTTAGAGTGATGGAAGCTGCTGTAGAGGGAGATGCTGCTGATATTATGAGAGCAATGGAGATTTGCATATGAATAAAAAGGGGCTGAACCTCAGGGATGGAGCTGGTTCTCATATGGGCTGTACTAGATAACAGAACATAAGGATAATGGTTTACAAGCTACTTCACAGAAACTCTGTAGAGCTCTAATGTTGAATAATCAGTACAGATATAAAAGACCCATACAAAGATGTATTTCCTTAAAAAATAATAAACAGCTAATAACATCTGTGCAGTGGTCTCTGATCTAGTCATGAATACACAATACTAGCACTTTTATTTATTTGTTTCCTTGTTTATTCAAAAGCAGGCATTGTCACTGCTTTGTCCTTGAACTGAATGCTTAACATGATTTCCGATTACTCAGAATAATAGGACACTTTTTATAATTAATAATCATATGAATAAATATAATAAACTGTAATTGGCAGATATGTACAGGCTGCTTCCTACAGGCTGAAATATGGATGCTACCTGTGTTTTAGTTGGTGCATATTTATAAATAAATAAATAAATATTATAATAATAGATAATAATAATAAAGATAATAATAGATAATAATAATAATAAAAGTTAAAAGAATGGTTTGATGAATAATCAAATTTACACACTTATACCTGATACAGTCCATCAGCGTAGTCATGTTTGTAGTCCAAATTTTGCATCTTTATTTAAGTGGTGGAGCTTCAAGGCTAATTTTGCAATTAAACACTAGAATTCAATAGTGACCCAAATCTCTTGTGTAAATACATCCCTAAAACTTCTTTCAATCTGCTCAAACCACATCCAGGTCTTCATTCAAGTCATACAGACTTGTCCATGTGTTTTAAAGCACAGTATGACTCATAAGTAAACTGTAAAAAAAATTAATAATACTTCACTGTGTAGTTGAACGAAGCAGATGTACATTTTAGACAGCAGGTTTTGTGCCAAATTCTGACTCCTCTCTGTGTGCATGCACGTTAGCATATGGATCCTGCAGATTATGTTTGCTGTTTATGTGGTTTCTTTTTAGAAATAATTGTTTAATTTTAAATCTTGAAAAAAAAAGTTTTATATTTTAGTAGAAATCTTAAACATAATCTAACTTCCATGTGCTGTGGGGGCAGATAAAATTCACACCTGTTTTTTGTTCATTTTTATAGCTCACAGCAAGTCATATGTAATAGCAGTCAAATGTAGCTCACAGTAAGCCTGTATTTACAGGAACGATTTGGGTGACTATTGACTTCTGCAGTGTTTGCTAGCAACATTAACTTTGTAGCTTTGACACTAAAGTAAAGAAGCAGAATTTGGAAACAGAACCAATCTTGTATGATTTAGTGTGACAGTGTTCATTACTCTAGATGGTCTTACCACAGTAGAAATAATTATTCCTGGTGTTTATTAAAACAATAAAACATAACAGAAAGTGAGAGTACAGAATCAACAGTATTGACTGAAATCTAATAATAGGTAATAATAGCTAATTCATTCTTCACGCTGCTCATCTGCAGATACAGCTGGTCTTTGCTGTTGTCTCTGGAGATGGTGAACCTTCCTTGGACAGACTGAGAGTAATACTTGTACTGACTGTCATATCTAATTAATGCCACCCATTCTAAGCCTTTTCCAGCAGCCTGTCTGACCCTGACCCAGGTGTAATGACCACTGCTTCAGACTGGGTCAGTGTTTGACTCCAACACTCTAAAAGAAAAAAAAAAGTTTAACTAAAATAACTTAATAGTTCATCCAGAACTAAAACATTCAGCAGAAAATCAGCCCATCAAGATCTTACTTGTAGTGAGAGACAGTAAAATAAAACTCCAGAAGATCTTCACTTCCATTCTCCAGGTAGCAGAGTGATGACCATCAAGCAGACTATCATAAAGAGTGAGTGATGACTGAGAATATAAAGCTTGTAAAGGACAGTGAGTTTGCATACAATATTTGGGTCTTTCATTCTGAATTCTTCTTCTAAATAGCCCCACCCACTTCTTTGCCTTCTCTTCCACTGTATTCTTATACACTACTTTAACCAATACATATGATCAGGGATCATTAATGTCTGCACACACTGAGGTGCTCTGAGGTCAACAGTTACATGATTGGACAGTTTTTAAAGTTATTGATGGTTTTGACACCATAAATGAGTGTCAAACAAAACAAAACACAGCTGTGTCTTCAGACTGCAGGTGTTGTTGGATGTAGCTTCATAGCTTTGGATGTAGATTATATTTTCTACAGTTTTCACTCTGTGATGCCATATGGTGTCCCATCTCCACTTTCAGTGTTCAAAAGATGTGCTACTAGCACCCTCTGAGTGCTCTTAGTGCAGTTTTCAGCAAATCGCTGCTGTCGGAAGAAAACCTCGTATCTCCAAAATGGAGATAGAAAAAAGGAGAAGAAAAAAACATTCTTAGTTTTGACTGATTTTTTTCCAAGCATTTTTGGAGCATTTTTGGTGTTCATCATGAAATGATGGCACATTGTAATGGTCAGCTGGCATATTCTAATTCTGTACAAAAGTACAAAACGACAAAAATGGAAATACAAGGTTTTCGTCTGACAACAGCGAAAAGCTCTTCAGTGCAGATTCAGCAGCAGACGCACATTTCCTGCAATACAGGCTAGTGCCAATCACAGTGGAGATGTTTACAGCTTCCTGAGGATCATGGAAGAGAAGAATATATTCATATGTGAGTTAAAATGCCTTTATTTATTATTTTAGTTTGTAAGCTGCTTCATGCTTGTAACCTGGATTGCAGACCACTTTTTAAACAAAACAACAGAAGCCAGTCACTTCGTAAATGTCCTATAGTGTATTATAGTCTGTTAGAATGAATGTTTGGATCATATGCCCATTATAGAGCATCATAGAGTGCTTTTTAAAAGAAACAACAAAAGCCATATCAGCCATCACCCTTCATGTAGGGCACTGCAATGTCTCAGAATGATCATGCTGATCATATGAACATTATAAAGCATTAAAGAAGAAAGTGTGTCAGAATGACAACACAGATTATTTGAAAATGACTGATGTTGAATAATCAGTACTTATAAAAAAGACACATATATGGAGACGATTGCTTAGAAAGTTAAAAGTACCTAAGAAATGTTTGATCATCTAGTGATGAGAAGTGTTGTCATGAGAACTCAACATTGTCACTTTTTAAATTATTATTTATTTCCTTATTTACTTCTGTGGAAAAATTAGGCATGAAGAAACTGAGAACGCTCTGAACTTGACCTGAATATTAATAAGGATAAACTGAATATTGGACTTGACACAATTGGAATTATTATATAAAGAAACATAGTATAAAAAGAGATGGTGTTAGAGGAATAGTTTATTGAAAAATCAAATTTACACAGTTTCCCACATAACCCAGATATAGACCATCAGATCAGACATGGCTGATGTCCAAATTTTGCCTCTCAGATTTAATGCTTGAGCTATGAGGATAATGATGTTAACAAACACTAGAATTATATAGTCACTCAAATCTCTTGTGTAAGTAAATCCCCAAAACATCTTCTGATCCACTCAAACTGCATCCAGGTCTTGATGAAAGTCGTCCAGCCTTGTCTTTGTGTTTTAGAGCACAGTGTGACTTACTGTGAACTCTAAAAATGAATAATACTTCACTGTGTAGTTGAATGAAGCCGACATTCATTTTAGACAGCAGGTTTTGTTCCAATTTCCTACTCGCCTCTGTGTGCAGGCACATCACGTTTTATTCATTTCCATAGCTCACAGTAAGTCATAATGTATCCTAAACCACATCAACCAATCTGCAAGAAGACCTGGATGTGGTATTGAGTGGTGCGAGAGAAGCTTTGGGTTATATTTACAGAAAAGACTTGGGTGACTATTGACTTCTACAGTGTTTGTTAGCAACATTACCTTCGTAGCTTTGACACTAAAGAAGCAAGCTTTGGAAACACAACATATCTTGTATGATTGATTACTGCAGGAATTGAGTAAAGTGGATTGTTCAATGATTATTTTCATTCTGTCGAATTATAAGCGAGGCTGTTTAACTTATAAATAGAATTAGCCAGTATTACATAGCAACTTACTGTATAAAATTATGTTTTTATGCACTCCCTTCAGTGTTCATTACTCTAGATGGTCTTACTGTAGTAGAAATAATTATTCCTGGTGTTAATTAAATCAATAATACATAACAAAAAGTGAGAGTACAGAACAGTAAATCATGTTTTTGAAAAAAAAGTTTAAATAAAAAAAAACACACATTAGCTCTAATTGTATTGAATGAAAGCTCTAGCTGCACTGACTGAAATCTAATAATTGGAAATGATGAAATTTTTGTACAGCTCTGTAAACTCTTGTGTCAGTGTGGCTGTCGAGCACAGTGATACACAGCAGTGTCTTCGTTCTTCACGCTGTTCATGTGCAGATACAGCTGGTCTTTGCTGTTGTCTCTGGAGATGGTGAACCTTCCTTGGACAGACTGAGAGTAAGTCTTGGTCTGACTGTCATATCTGATTAATGCCAACCATTCTAAGCCTTTTCCAGCAGCCTGTCTGACCCAGACCATCCAGTAGCCATCAAAGTCTAGACTGGATGCTGTACAGGTCAGTGTATGAGATCCACCAGGTGTAATGACCACTGCTTCAGACTGGATCAGCGTTTGACTCCAACATTCTTAAGGAAAACAAAGCAATGAATAAAATATTATAATTTTTAATGCAGAATGAAAAACATTCAGTAGAAAATCAGCCCATCAGGATCTTTACTTGTAGTGAGAGACAGTAAAATAAAACTCCAGAAGATCTTCACTTCCATTGTCCAGGTAGCAGAGTGATGACCATCAAGCAGGATATCATAAAGACTGAGTGATGACTGAGAATATAAAGCTTGTAAAGGACAGTGAGTTTGCATACAATATTTGGGTCTTTCATTCTGAATTCTTCTTCTAAATAGCCCCACCCACTTCTCTGCCTTCTCTTCCACTGTAGTCTTATACACTACTTTAACCAATACATATGATCAGGGATCATTAATGTCTGCACACACTGAGGTCCTCTGAGATCAACATTTACATAATTGGACAGAAGTTACTGATGGTTTTGACACCATAGATGTCTGTCAAACAAATCAAAACACAGCTGTGTCTCCAGACTACAGGTGTTGTTGGATGCAACTGAAGGAAGTTTTAACTTCAGTTTCTTAACTAATAGAGTCATTACATTTTCTACAGTTTTCACTCTGTGATGCCGTATCATGTCCCATTTCTCCTTTTAGTGTTCAAGAGATGCACTACTAGCGCCCTCTATGTGGTCAAAAGCCATATCAGCCCTTACCTTTCATGTAGAACATTGCAATGTCTCAGAATGACCATGTCAATCACGGGCACATTATAAAGCATTATAGAATAGAATGAAACAATATAAGCCATACCGCCCCCTACACTTCCTGTAGTGAATTACAGTACAGACGCTCCAGATACTCTACAGGTGATGAAAAAGGGCTGAATGTCAGGAATGGAACTGGTTCTCATGTGGGCTGTGCTAGATAACAGAACATGTTGAGGTTCAAGCAAAAAGGGACTGGATAATGATTTATGAGCCATTTCACAGAAACTTAGTCAACTGATAATGTTGAACAGTGTAAAACTGCAATAAGTGCAAAAAACCTGCATTTCTCATACAGTAAAGTATGGTGTATGGTTATGAATATGATTGTGGTTTTTGGCTGTTAGGAATACGCAACACTACCATCAATATCTAGTATTACTTTTTCTGTCCAGCAAATCAGTTTTCAGCTTTTTCAGATTTCAGTGCAGCATCTTTGAAACATTAAGCAGACAGAAATTGTAAATGTGTTAAACCTGAACTGAATGTTTATCTTGATGAACTGAACTGGCTAGAATGATAGGACACGGGTTGCCCTCTACAGGCTGAAATAGGTACTGCATTGTGATACATTTCATATTACAGAGCTGGTGTAGAGGATGTTAAATGTTTGTACATGTAAAAGTTATCAATATTATCAGATTCAGTACCAGACATCTCTATCAGTGTCAGTGTATATCAAAAGAAGAGAAAGAAAATGTGTTAGATTTAATTATTTGGAAGTATAAAACAAATCTTCATAATAGAGAACAGTATTAGAAATATATAAGCAGTACTGTGCAAAAGTCAGAGACCCCCTTTGTTCATATAACTTCCGGTTCAAATTGCCTGTCAGTATGAGCTGTTATTTTTTTTTCCTTTCATCTGTTCCTTCCTCATCCCTCCATTCTTCCATAAACTGCTATTACTCTTCCATAAACTGATTTAACTCCAGTTACCCTGTCTAAGTTTATTTAATTATCCATTTAACCATGTATTTATATGTTTATTGTCAGCTGAAAATACATGTTGAAACCTGTACTAAATCAATTTTCAACTTTGCTCTGCTTTAAGCTTTAGCTCACCTATAGCCACTTTTCTCACATCTCTGGCAGGAAACTTTTCACAAAAAAACTGTTCTACTTTTGAGTAAATGTCTCTCAGCAATCCATTTTTTGCGAGTCTAAAGTCGCTTCTCATTTGCCAGCTTCTTGTTCAAATTTTCTCGTTTCATATTAAATGGCGCCCGAATATTACTATTGTACCATTTAAGGTGGAACGGGAAAATTCGAATGAGAAACTCTTCAGCTTCACAACTTTTTAGTGTTTGACAGTTTCACGGTGCAGACCAAACTTCTCAGAAAACCTGCTGAGTGATTATAAATAAATCCATTTGTCTCCAAATAATCAATGTTCATCTTAAATCTTTCATTAGCTACTAGCTTGGTGAGATTGTTGTCTGTGTTGCAATGATGACCAGCAGTCTGCTCACCAGCCTTCAGGGTAAAGGGTGAATTAGCAGATATAGGCTACATTAACTTCAGCATTTAAGACTTTTTATAGTCAAAACCGTGTTGAACGATTAGCAGACCTTTATTTTACTGCAAAGGAGGATTATTTTATTTTTACCCGGAAACCTAATTCTGCTGTGAAGCTGAGGTTTAAATCAGTTGTGTTTAATTTGAAGGCCTTCACCTACATCATGTCATGGAAGATGTCATCTCTCTCTCTCTCTCTCTCTCTCTCTCTCTCTCTCTCTCTCTCTCTCTCTCTCTCTCTCTCTTTTTGCTTGTCTCTTTTGCATCTCTGTCCTCACTGATACTGAATTACTGAAAAAGCACAGTTTAAACATATACCATTGTAGTCCAAACAAAAGAAATACATTTTTTCAATCTTAATGTGCTAATTGTGCTCATAAACTTTTAGCTAACTAAAGTTTTATTATTACAACATTATATGTTAGCGTATAGCATGTGTGCTGCATACCTGAACATCTCAAGAAGTTACTCTGCTTGTCTGGGCAGCAAAGCGTCTCTTACAGAGATAAACAGAGAGGACCGTCAAGTCTATGGCCGAACCATGGCTGTTATGAGGTCAGCTGAGAACCCGTCACTGCCCATTGAGTAATAACGTGGGCCTCGGTGTCCTACCGCTAGTTACAAATTAGACAGGCACCAAAGCAACTGTGGATAGCAATGTTGCCAAGCAGTTATTGGAGGGTTGGGAAGATAAGGTGGAGCCAGGCATTTGAGTTGGCCATGATACAGTGAGCACAACATATCAGGTTTCCTTATTTTAAAAAATGAGGTGTAATAAATATTTCGTCCCCATTTGGGTGGGCCTGTGATACTGTGGCTAAGCCTCTGAGTGGACTACTGTATTATCATAACTGCACTGTTTCTACATTTAATCTCATGAATGGAGAAAAGCAAATAAATAAATGAAATCCTTCTGAAACAACTAAGGCCCGGACCTCGGTGTCCTCATAGCTAGTTACGGCCTTGCTGAAGAGCATGAGAGAGATGAAAGATATTCACTTGTGAGTTAAAATGCATTTGAAAATCAGCTCATTTTAGAAGAACAAGTATGATCAGTATAATTTCACCAGCTATGGTACACACCTAGGCTGTACAACGAGCAAGTCTGTCCCAAACGAATCTTTTTAAACCTGCTACCTTACATGTCCTGTAGTATATTACATTCTGTCAAAATGACCATGTGCGTCATATACACATTATACAGCATTACAGAGCCATATCCCCTCCTATACCTCCTGTAGTGTATTACAGTCTGTCAGAATGACAGCAGGGATCATATAAACATTCAAAAACGTTACAGCTTTTTACATGAAAAGAATAAAAACATATCGCCCCTACACTTCCTCTAATGTATTATGATCTGTCAGAATGATTGTCGGAATAAACTAAACACTATTAAATATTATAGAGCAGTTTTTTAAAATGACACAAGAGAGGCCACACTGACCACTACACCTCCCTTAGTGTATTACAATCTGTCAGAATGACAACATGGATCATATGAACATTACAAAGCATTAACCCTTAGAACCCTTTGGCTGATGGATGGTCACAGGTGGCTGAAATAACTCCAGATGGTGAGGGCAGTGTCTGATGAGTGATCTGATGTGTGAATCATGTCGCTGTTTTAACCCTTTGTTGGAATAAGAAGGCCAAAAAACAGAGTAATAAGGTCAAGATTTTGGTGATTTTCTGAGGCGAATTACTCACTGATGCTGACGTCATAGGTTGATGATGTTGCTTGATGCCATACTAGCTAGTCAGTGAAGGGTCTGCTGATATGTGTGCCATGTCTGTAGCTTAAACCGTTCTGAAGTTATGAAGGCTAGAAGTCAACTACATGTTTACCTGCAAATTGTGGGCTTCGGGTTATAGAACTTGACAGTTATATCGAGCACTACAGAGCATTTTTTTAATCAATCAATAGATGCCATATTGCCTCTTATAATTCCTCAACTATATTACAATCTGTTAGAAGGACTATGTGGATCTTATGAAATTAAAGAGCATTTCTAGAGTTCTGTAAATGATGGATCAACTTTTGCCATACTCATTTTTAATAGTTATGATAAACATGATCACAACAGTGTTGCAACCCTACTTAGCGCCTTTATAGGTAGAAAATAAATTTTATCATCTGTACTAGCCCTCACTGTGTGCAGCTAGATTGAATTATATCATGATCTTAAGTTTAATCCCGTAATTGGGAGTTTTTGTACAGCACTGTAGTGTCTTGTATCAGTGTGTATATTCTTGCACAGTAATAAACAGCAGTGTCTTCTGTCTTCAGGCTGCTCATGTGCAGATACACCTGCTTCTTACTGTTTTCTCTCGAGGTGGTGAATCTTCCCTCAACAGACTGAGAGTAATATTGACTGCCACCTTTTGGAGCTGTAATACGCAAGATCCATTCAAGCCCTTTTCCGGAAGCCTGTCTAATCCAGCATATATCTGCAACACTAAGATCAATTCCAGAGAAGGTGCAGGTGAGAGTGTGAGATCCTCCAGGTTTAATGAGCGCTGGCTCTGACTCAGTCAGTGTCTGACATCTACAACCTGTCAAATAAATGCTCAGTTAATCAATTCAGTTCAAACACTGACACACAATCTCACACAAACACACAAATGACATGAATAAAGATTCTCAGATGAGCTACTCACTGATTACAGTCATTAATGTGAATAGAAAGTAGTGAATGGTTCTTGGTTTCATGGTTGCTGCTGAAAAGTATAATCAAAGTGAGAATAATGTAGTTAGAGTCTGTGTTTATAAAGGAAAGATTCATTTGCATGTCCCGCCCTCTGAAGGGTTCATCAGCAGAAAAACTGGGGATGTTCTGGCACTGATGTTACCTATATATTATTACAGAAACCCAGTTGAGACCAGATTGTTCAGAAGGTCCTGCATCCAGCATCGCCAATGTATTTTGTTAAATACAGACCAGTGAGGCTGAAAGAGAGTCCCTCAAGGAGTCTTTGTAAAGCTGTACATCTGACTTTATTTAGTCATTAATGTGAAAATACAGTGGTAAATGATTATTGGTTTCATGGTTGCTGCAGAAAAGTTGCTGCAGAACCAAATTGACAATAATGCAGTTAGAGTCTGTGTTTATAAAGGAAAAGTCCTGTCTGCATGTCCTGCGCTCTGCAGAGTTATTTTGGCATCATATTATAAAGACAACTTCACTTTACTTGAACCCTGCTACCTAAGACTGACATTAACAATGCCACTAACATGTCATGGCAGATGTACTAAACTGTTAGTTCTCATGATGGATATTGTTCTGTAATATAACAGTATCATGTTATAACTAGCAGTAATTATCATTATAGATCCCATTATATTGGTGATGACAGCAAAAGTTTAAACAGTAAAAATTAGCATGTGTCATAAGCCGTCATGACATCATACATTATGACATCATGTGACAATTATCATTACTGATAACATGACACTGTTATATTATTGAACAAAACGTGTCATGACAACTCATTACAGCATATGACATCTTGCATTTTTTTTTATATAGAAATACTTTGTGATTAAACTACTCACTAGTTAAACTATTTATTCTGATATATGGCATTTTTCCATAACAGCAGTAATAAGTACAAAAAAATAAGTGCAAATATCTGTGAAATTAAGGTGACCATTTGTTTCTGTGAATTCACATACTATTTCTGTAAATTAACAACAACAGTGTTTCAATACAATTAAAAAAAAATGATATTCACCATGTCATTTTACAGTATGTTGATAGTATAAATATTTTATTTACAGTGTGTATTTAGTTGTTGAGGCTTCCTTGGCTTTTTTTATTCCCAACACTGACAAACAAGAAGCTCAGCAATGGTGCTGAGAATGTGTCTGAGATTGTCCATCTTTGAAGTTTTTGTACAGGAACTCTTATGTTTTGCATGGTTGTGCCTCTATAACGGGCACAGTAATACACAGCTGTGTCTTCAGGCTGCATGTTCTGTCCTTGTAAAGTCACTGTGCTGCTGGAGGAGTCTTTAGAAATACTGAACTTGCTTTTCAGAGACTCTTTTTGGTAAATACTCCCACCACCCCAGATGTGGATTATCCACTCCAGAGTTTTCCCTGCAGGCTGCCGAATCCAACCTGTCGCATAGTTATCATCAGTAACTGAATAACCAGATACTTTACAGCTGATGGTCAGAGACCCTCCTGGCTTTATAAGCTCTGAACTCGGCTGAATTAGTCCAATATCACATTTCACACCTGGAACAAAGAAAGACAAAGATGATCTCACTCATTTACAGCATGTTTAGACATGTGAGGTACAAATAGTAATAAATTGTGTGGTTTGTGTTGCTCAATGTTTGTATTCCAGTCCAGAAAGAGACTCACAGGTTGCTGCTGTGGTCAGCAATAGCAGAAATATGTAGAACATGACTGTCTGTTGAAGATGCTGTCCTGATCTGCAGTGAAGTGAAAGGAACAAGATCCTTTTGATATAAACAGGAGGACTAAGTCACTTTGCATACAGTTCACACGGTCATGATAAAAACTCACCCATCAGCGTGATGACAACCATACATTTTTAAAATATCTGTACCATATATCATATGAAGTTAGTGACTGTACAGCCTCTGTATTCAGCTGCCCTCTTGTGGTTTGGATAATGACAGGGAGGCATCACACGTTGCTGGAATTGTTCAGTTGAGCATGTAAATGTGGAGAGAATAATAGCACATGAGTAGTCAGTAGGCATTGAAAATCTACAGACAATTTAAAAAAGCCCCAGTCGTAGCAATCATGCAATCAAGTAGAGTTTAAAAACTTATGACAGAATCTGTGACACATTCCACATTCCAGTTTTAAGACAGTGTAAGAATTCTCTTATAACATTTATGTGTATAGCAAACGTAAAAGATAACAACAACTGTCATGCAAAATGCTGCACAACAGAGTATTATTTTGCAGAAATTCAAAGTGTGATTTCTGCCAGAATATAACAGCTTAAATAGCAGAAAAAGACCACCACTTGCTGCTATAGGGTTGATTACTTCAACATGACTATGCCCCCTTCTCTGAAATGTCCACACATCTACAGACTTATTATAAATACAAATTATAAAAAAAATGTACATTTAACATCATTTCATAAAAATAATTATTTAATTTTCTTTTTTTTTCTTTCTTTTTCCCTTTGTTTTGAGAACATTATATTGTCTGTGTAATGTGCTTATTAAGCCAGCCTTAACAATCCAGCAGTTAGTTATTAAATGGCTGCTTATTATTACATTATTAAGCAATAATTAAAGTGAAGTAAGCATTTTCCAGAGCACTTTTATTTGTGTATTATTGTGTTGTAGTAACAAATGAAAGGTGTTTTCTCAGTCTCAGTACCTTTTTCCTGAGAATATTTGAGTGCAAAGCCTCTGTTATTCATTTTTCTTTTCTGTCATGAGAACACAACTTACTGAAGTGAAATGCATTTTAAACCAGATGCAACAAAGACACACTATGTAATAATCAGATAATAATGCTCTGGCAAATGCTTAATTCACTCTAGTTACTACGTTATAATGTAGTCATAAGCAGCATATTAGTTACTATGTCATTGGCTTGATAAGTTAGTTAACAACTATTGGCTTGAAAAGGCACAATAAGGGTACAATGATGGACAACTAAAAGATTATGATGAATAATATACAAATACAAGTGCTCTGGAAATGCTTTTTTTCACGCTATTGTGTGATAATATAGTAATGAATAATAATGTGTAATAATATAGTAATGAATAATTTGTAAATTACCGACGATTCACTTGTTAAGGCTCAATAAGAGCATTTCCCTTTATACTAAAAGGTTACTTTTATAGATATATTATAATAGATATATAGATATATTTGTCAGATATTCTTCTCTAAAGATTGCCTACTCTTAGGCCTTTTCTGAAGGTAAAGATAACTACACATTATTAATGATATAATTATCATATTAATTGTTTCATACTAGTAATATTATATAATGGGAAAGATTGGTCACAGTAAGTACAAGAATATATAATGTATAATGTAGGGATTTTGTGAAAGTCTGTGGAGTGTATATTCATTTGTAAATGATACTGCACTGCATTCATATCACTAAAAATAAACAAATAAAAAACAATTATATTGCAATAAACATATACAATATGTCCCTCATTGATTTAAGGCTTTGACCACATGTACCTAGATATTTGATTTATTCTATTTTTTTTGTCTGTTTTCAAACAACTCTTAGTCCAAACCAACAGCATTTTTGAAAATCTCTCTATCCACAAAAGAACACAAAAATGAGCATTTGAACACAGCAGAGCATGAAAATTTATACAATTTTATGTCACATCACCTTAAGAAGAACTTCGTAAAACATATGCATTGCACAAGAACATGATACAATGTGAGATTGTCATGTTACAAACACAACAGGTTTTTACATGAAGGCTATCAGATGGTTTCCACAAATTCAAACTGATTTCTGCCAGAAAATAAAAGCTTAAACAACAAAAAGGAAAAACAGGCCACCCTTTCCTGCCACAGGTTTATTTATGTTGTCACGGATTTGCCACTGTCTCCAAAACAAAGCAAAGAAACTGAGTTTTCTAGCTTTTTCACTCCATTTGAATTAGGGATTTTTTTGAGTGTTAATCTGGCTTTGCTTAATGATTATATCTTCATATCTTTAGAATAAAACCCATTTAAAAGAAATAAACATAGGTCTTGATGCCTCCGAAATGCAAGTTGATGAAAAAAATAAAGCTAAATTCAGTTATAAACGTTTTTACCGCCAAACTGCCTAGATACAGAAACAACCTGACCATATGCTTAATTAAAGAAACAGCAACCAATATGCTCAAGCTAAGAACATGATGATTTTGCAAAAACTTCCACGTCCATATGAAAAGACGGAGACGAGAGGCCAAATATCCTCATATGTGTGGATGTGTCTGAGACTGTAGTTCATCTGTGATGTTTTGTACAGCCACTCTTATGTTCTGCATGTTTGTGCCTAACGGGCACAGTAATACACAGCTGTGTCTTCAGGCTGAACGCTCTGTCCTTGCAGTGTCACTGTGCTGCTGGAAGTGTCTCTGCTGATGCTGAATTTATGTTTCAGTGAATCTTTATAGTATGTGCCCCCGGTATAACATATGTATCCAATCCACTCCAGAGCTCTTCCTCCAGAAACAGAAACCTGCCGTATCCATCCTGTGCAGTAGCTGCTGTCAGACAGTGAATATCCAGAGACTTACAGGTGATGGACAATGACTGACCAGGCTGTATGGACACTGTATTTGGCTGAGTGAGCTCAATGCCACAGTGGAAACCTACAAATAGAATAAGAACATTTTAAACACAAATTTGGTTTGATTAATATTCAAATGTCTGCTCAGATATCTGGACTCAAACACTGGTTTTCTTACAGGGTAAAGTTGCCAGAAGTATCAGCAGTGCAGCAGGCAGCATGGTGGAAGCTGGAGCTGTCGTTTGATGTTAGAAGCTCAAGCTGATGCGACCTTTTGCCAGACTGCATTAGACTGCGTTATTTCAAGTCAAGGAGGAGGAGAGCATGTTTCAAAATTAGGGAGGAGAAACAACAGCATAAGAACACTGTGGGATGGTCAGTGGTAGTGATGTAGTAAAACAAAAATATCCCACCTAATGATTAAAGAGAATATCATTGATTTCTCTTATATATTCTAATCAGGAATAACATTCTGACCGCCTCCTTGTTTCTACACTCATTGTCCATTTTATCAGCTCCACTTACTATATAGGAGCACTTTGTAGTTCTACAGTTACAGACTGTAGTCCATCTGTTTCTCTGCATACTTTGTTAGCCCCCTTTTACCCTGTTCTTCAGTGATCAGGGCCCCATGGACCCTCACAGAGCAGGTACTATTTGGGTGGTGGATCATTCTCAGCACTGCAGTGGTGGTGGTGTGTTAGTGTGTGTTGTGCTGGTCTGAGTGGATCAGACACAACAATGCTGCTGGAGTTTTTAAACACTGTGTCCACTCACTGTCCACTCTATTAGACACTCCTACCTTGTCAGTTCACTGTGTAGATGTAAAGTCAGAGTCGATAGCTCATCTGCTGCTGCACAGTTTATGTTGGTCATCCTCTAATCCTTCATCAGTGGTCACAGGACATTGGTCACAGGACGCTGCCCACAGGACGCTGTTGGCTGGATATTTTTAGTTGGTGGACTATTCTCAGTCCAGCAGTGACACTAAGGTGTCTGCTGTGTCTGATCCACTCATACAAGCACAACACACACTAACACACCACCACCATGTCAGTGTTACTGCTTCTAGACCTATGTGCTGTATGAAACAATTCAGCAGTTATTCAGTGCTCTGGGGTCTGCAAAAATGCTGAGCAGGCCAAGCTGACCAAGATTTTGGATCAGATGTCAAGAGGAAAGGATCTTAATGACTGAAAGAGGTCTTACCATTGGAGTGCTGAGGGCAGGAGTCAGCAAAGACTGGTCAACTGGCCAGTGTTTAAATAGGCACAGTGACTAAAGAGACGTCTGCATGTAGACCTCAGTAAATAGGGTTGGACATTGTGATTGAAAGCGTGAATTCAGTGAACATGATGTTTCCATCCACAACTATATAGACAGGAATTTTAGTAGGCAGTGAATAAACTCATCAGAAACATGAATGACCATTTAAGACTGCAGTGGTGCAGAAATAATCAAGACTGGCCTACAGAGATGTGAAAAAAGTAATCTGGTCAAATGGATGTCCTTCACCATTTTCTGAAGGGGCAAGGGCACCTAGAGAATGATACATGCTGTTACCTTCTCTGGCATTTTGTTGGCATGGTTTGGGTCCATTTGTGCTATTAGAGGGCAAGGTCACTGCAAATCAATCCAAAATTATTCTCACATGATTCTATCCTAAAGGGAGTGGCCTCTTCCAGGATGGCAGTGCCCCAGTACACAGGGCATGAGAGGTCACTGAATGGTTAGATGAGTACAGAAATAATATTGCCACCCTGGTAGTTACAAGATCTGAATGTAGGTGAACACCTGTGTTAGATTTTGGACCAAAGAGTTAGGCAGCGTTCTCCACCACCATCATCAAAACACCAATTGAGGGAATATCTTTTGGAAGAACGGTGTTCCACTCCTTTAGCACAGTTTTAGAGACTTGTAGAATCTGTACCAAAGCAGATTAAAGCTGGTCTGTTGACCCAGCACCTTAATAAGTCACTTTTTTTGGACATGAATGTTAGCATGAATAAAATACATTTTATCTTTCATATTTTATTAATATGCATATGCTGGCATATTTCTTTAGCTGTGTGTGTGAATGCTGTATGTGCAAGTGTTTTTGTCAGGGTCTTCAGTGTGTTTCCATCACTGTGCTGGTCTCCTTACACAATAATACACAGCTGTGTCTTCAGGCTGCATGTTCTGTCCTTGTAAAGTCACTGTGCTGCTGGAGGCGTCTTTAGAAACACTGAACTTGCTTTTCAGAGACTCTTGTTTGTAAGTGCTCCCACCACCATAGATGTAGTTTATCCACTCCAGGGTTTTCCCTGCAGGCTGTCGAATCCAACCTGTTGCGTAGCTGTTATCAGTAACTGAATAACCAGATACTTTACAGCTGATGGTCAGAGACCCTCCTGGCTTTATAAGCTCTGAACTCGGCTGAACTAGATCAACACATTTCACACCTGGAACAAAGAAAGACAAATATAATTTTGATGATTTATACCATACAAACAAGGAGTTCTGCAACTTTACATTAATAAGAATAAATTGTGTGGTTTATACTGATAATTGTTTTTATTCCAGTCCATAAAGAGACTCACTGGTTGCTGCTGTGGTCAGCAATAGCAGAAACGTGTAGAACATGGCTGTCTGTTGAAGATGCTGTCCTGATCTGCAGTGAAGTGAAAGCAAGAAGCTGCTTTTAGTACAGAAGGACTGAGTCACTTTGCATAGAGTTCACATGATAAACATCACCACCATCAGTTTCATGACAGCCATATATTTTAAAAATAACTGTATCATGTCATTGTAGAGCCTTAGTAGTGGTTTGGAGGAAGACAGGGAGGAATTCCAGGTTGCTGGAATTGTTTAGCTGAAAATGTAAATGTGTAGAGAGTGAAAGCAGATGAGGATGTTATATTGTTAAATGTCGGTAGGAAATGAAAACTACAAATAATTAAAATAAAAGCCCATTGATTTTTAGCAATCATGCAATAAAATAGAGTTTAAAAATTTAACTTATGATTGAGTAATCATTGATTGTTATGTTACTTGGCAACCATAACCAAATCTACTGTAATCTAAAGGTTGTTACACACTGAACACAATGTAAATAACCAGCATGGAAATAGAACTTATTATTCACAAAAACTATTCACCCAGCATTTTATTTAGGATTTTGATGTGTCGTTGTGCCTCAAAAAGGCAATCAAACTGGCAAAATGTCTTTTAGTGCTAATAGATGTCATTTGCTCCTCATAAAATGGAAAAAAAAATATTGACATTGAGTGGGCTACCATGTATTTTTGAAAAAAAAAGAAGCACAAAGAATTTGCACACATAAAAAAAAAAAATGTTCTGTAAAGACATTTATAATTTGCTTTGCTTGGTGGAAGAACTGTTTGTTGTGATTAATAATATAATGTATGACATGAATTTTACTGTTTTGTAGAACAGTTCACTCAATGCTGTGTTTTACATTGATTTTACTCCATTTTACATGGTGCCTAACAACACCCCTTCCACGGTAACAGAGCCTGCAGTGGATTGGTGCTTTATTAGAAGCTTTTTCAGTTTAGTTTCCACCCTTTCAGATGATCTCTCTAGTCAGAGTGTTTATGGATGAGTCTGTTGAAATGATCTTGCCGTGTGTCTTGTTGGTCAAATTAAATAAAAAACAAAATCATAAAGCAAAGTAGTCAGTTTGGGGAAGATATAGGGTTATGATGCAACAGATGATGATGATGATGATGATGATGATGATGATAGAGAGATTTGTGTAATGCAACTAATGTAAGTCAGTAACTGTCATGTGATTATATAGCATAACAATGCAGCACTGAGCAATCCTAAACCCCATAACTAAACTCTTCGATGGCTAATTCACTACTTCACTTCTGGAGTATGAAGTAATACAAGCATCAGGCAATGAGTTGATTTTTATGTGGAGCCTGGAATACTAATGTAGTTTTACATAAACACTGTGGCCAATAGGGTTAGTTCAGTAAAACTATCATCCACTACTATATTTTGCATGAATAAAGGTTGAGCTCAGTGATCTCCCCCTAGTGTTCAGAGACAGTACTGCTGAAATGTCTTTCAGTCCCACTGTTTTTCAGCTGTCATGTAAAAGCAGTGGATCCCAGTCCTAATAGAAGGGCACAATTGCTCTACAGTGGTGAACCTTGTCTAATATGGTAAGTAATTTTAAGTGTTTGTAAGATTTACATACAAAACTTGAGGGAAATACACAGTACTGTGCAGAAGTATCCTACAATATTTAAGTGGTGATTTTATGACAATGTGTTTTTTCTTGCCAAGATAAATGGTTTAAATTATTTGTTTAGATTCATAAGCCTTTTACGGAGCCCCTAAGGGGCCATGATAAAAAAAAAAAAAAGTTGACATTGCATTCCCTCGCAAATGTTCTGCATTCCATCTGTATCATCTATGTTGGTCTGTTTGTCATGAAATTTTGATTGAGTACAAAAGGCAGCTGGCATTTTCAAATGATAGAAATCAGTAAAAAACACAAAAATGGAGAAAGGCTCTGTTCTGACAGTGACGATGCATATCTGCTGAACTGATTTTGGTTTTGTGTTTCTGACTAACCGTCAGTTCTAAAAGATTCCGTGCTTGCAAATTCAGCAGCCATTATGGAGCAGCTTAAATTCATTCACCTCCAGGAGAAGCTTGAGAATTGAGTTAATTGATTGTAAAGCAAATAAGCTGTATATATCAGAAACTCACTGGGAAACTTAGTATCTCCTGACTAAACATCTTTTCATACTGTTACTCTACAGAAGCTGCAGTTCCAGCTGTGTATTATTTGGTTCTGACACTAAAGGGATTTTCTAATATGTACAAACAGCTCCAGAAATACTGGCATCCTTCATGATAACAAGCTAAAATTAACATATAAAAAGAACCACACATGTAATGAGTGATATTTCGGGCTTAAACAAACGGGTAAGCTTCATGTGTTTATTGTCAAAATGGTTTTTGAGATAAAATAAAGGTGTCCTTTAGTAACAGAAATTTTCATAAAAAATGCAGATTCCTAAAATATACAGCCGCCCCTGGCGAGAATTACAGCACTCTGCCTCTTCCTGTAGTGTTTTGCAAAGTTGGAGAACACTTGCAGAGGGATCTTGGACCAGACTTCCATGACCTCTTCAGTTGAGACCATTGATGAGTTCAAGTCTGGAAACTTAGAGGACCATTGAAAACATTGATTTTG